TACAAGACTTTTACAAAAGGGATCCAAAAATCTAACAAGATATGATGACAATATTTAAGAACTCGTTCAGGGCTTAATAATTTTATAAATTTATTCTATTTTACAATCGTATTTATTTATTATTTTCTTAACAAGCTTTGTAATTATATTTAATTAAGTATAAACATTTGTCTGGAGAAAGTATTATAAAAACTTTGATTGATAAATGATATGGTCAGTTTAATATGCATATCTACATACGCAAACACGTAAAAATAAATGTTTGAAAAACAGTTGACTCTGATTTAAATAATCAGTTTTAGTTAGGTAACGAAAATCTCAATAAAGGCGTTGCTTCGATATTGTCTGTCATGATTAATCTATAGAATAATGGTGATTTGAAAGACAACCCATGAAAAATAATGTGGAGCGCATCAGACTCAGCTAAAATAAAGAAAAAAGTGATTTTATATATGGTGTAATGGTGTTATATCTTCTCGTAGGTATTACCTGTAACATCCTCGTTTTTCTTAAACAGTTAATTTGTTAATATAGTTATAATTTAGATTATAATTCTTTAATTTTTAAAAAAAAATAAAAAAAAAATGCTCGTTTATACCGGTTAAAATTGTTCTGAGGATAAAAATAGCATTTTTAATCTAGAAGAATTATTTTAAATAATAAAAATTTATATTTTAATTAGAAATAATATTTGGAGTGTAAAAATAATTATTTTGGTAATTATTGCTTATTTTTGAATTTTTGGTAAATATTGTTTTATGTGTTCACAGGAACTGTGTGATTTTTTTTTTTTCTTTTTCTTTTTAAGTGATAACTAAAGAGATATTGATGTCAAAAATTATGTTATAATTATTTTAATTGTTTGGTATAAATTATTTTTATTTTTGAGTTTTATTCATAATTATTTTATTTAATTACATTAAAATAGTAAAATAATTGATTATTATATTATTATTTCTTTATATATTTGACTAAATTGACCATTTCTTACGTAAATCTTCTTCTTCTCCAAGTCCATAACCCCTTCTTCTCCCTTATGCCATTTTCATTTTCTTCCACTCATTTAAGCTTGTTTTAAGGTATGTTTTTAATATATATCCTTAATTAAGCTTAATTAGTTGTTAATTATCATTTCATCCGATTAAAATTTTAAATTTTTTCTATTTTTGGCTGTCATGAACAGTAAAAATGGGTCTTACTTTACTTCAAAATTATTGGTTTTTAAACTTACTTTCTTTTGTACTATATGTAGACTATGCATGGCTTATATTGTTTACATAATTAGTTTTTCAAAAATGTGATTAAAAAGCACTAAACCCTCACAAGGGTTGGCTGCCATGTAGTTTTAGAGAAGGTGAAGTGAGTGTTTTTCAATTCCATTTTATTCTTTTATATTAGTTAGATCATAGAAACTAATTTTGTGTTAATCGGACTTTTATAGCAAAAGTTAAAAAATTTCAATTTTTACATATACATATAAGAGTATAAAATTAGCATCTCCTTAGTATTAATTATGTTTAGGCATGATTAATTGATTAGGTTGATCGTTTCGAAGATTGGATTGTTCGAGTTTTCTAAAGAATCAGAAAAAATTCATTCATATCTTCATCAAAGAATATCCGTAAGGTAAGGGGTGGGATAATTTTATTTCAATAGGTGGCATTAAGAACCATAAGGGAATGATTCTCTATTGTTCTAATCAAATAAAATGAATTTGGGTTGTTTTAGAGCTATCCCATAATTTTTAGAAGATTTTGTTATAGCACTTGACATGTGTGAAAGGTTGCCTTAGACCAGGAAATTGATTGAACAAGGACTCTCCCTTATATGTAAGGTCTTTTGTGTATTTAAATTAATGTAATGGAATGATTTATGGTTGAAGTGCTGTATTGAAATATTTCTTTATAATTGGTTGAATTCTCATTATGTGCATGTGTAGATATTCTTGTTGGTAGGAATGCCATATAATAGTAAAGATTGGAAGTAATATAGTTTCATGTGGTGTGAGCATATAGATTGATATAATCTAAATGTCCATTAAGACTTGTTGGAAAGAAGAAAATATGTTTTTAAGGTATATATATATAATTATCTATTTTATATATAGTACAAGTATCTTTTGACTTCTTTTGAAAATAGATTTAATAAAAATAAATAAATAAATTATATTACTGAGAAAGTAGTATTGGATATTTGGAAGGCTTGAATCATTTTTAAAATGATTAAGTTTTAAATTTTTAAGCATAAAAACATATTTAAAGAAAGAGGGGAAGATACGATTTCCATGGATTTTGAGATGATGGAGGTGGAATTTAATGAATTAGAAGTATTCTGGATTTTTTCTGGTTGTTTTACAGGAAGAAGAAAATTTTGGAATATCTGATTTACAGAGGAGACTCTGTCGAATTTTATTGAGAAAAGAAAAAGTTAAGGATTGTACTTAACAGAAAAGAAAAATTAAAGTTTTTCTCTAATTACATTAATTAGGAGTGAAGACATGCATCATGAACATGTGATAGTGTGATGAGTGGACAGGGAAGTATAAGAAATCTAGGGGCGGCTCCAGGGTAGTCTTGGGGATAGTGACGTGTGATTGAATCTGACAGTGGCCAAGGCTCGCCATCTTGTGCTGTAGACTCTCACTGCAAAACTTTACTATCCTGACTGGTTCCGAGAGATTCTTGTATTAGTAGAGCTGTTACTGTATTATGAGATGAACAAAGTTGGCAGATAAGTAACAGTGAAACTCCTGATCCTTCCCTGAGTAAAAGAAACATATTGATGGTTTTGGGCCCACATGCATGTGTCAAAATGTACTAAGTTATAATAATGGACTTGCATCACTTCTCATTCATGGCATATGCATTTGCTTGGTAGATTATGGGTGTTGATAATTAATTGTGTGATTGAAACCCTTATATGTCTTTTGCTGCTGGAGATTGAATTAAATTGTCTCACCCTTTTATTGCTATGTGTGTTGTGTGTGAATATGTTTATTAGGTGAGAACATTGATGGCTCGACCACCGTACCAATTCAGCGTCTCGATCAGATATGATCCTGAGGGAACATGGGTGCACGACTGGGAGCAACAACGATTCACCCACACTGGCTCTATTACCTTTTTGTTAGATAGAAATGGCCCAGGCCCACGAGCTTACCCTATCCCCATCCGAGTACCCATGAGACTTACTTTTCCATTTCCTCCAGATGTACAATTTGTGAGACCCCCTACCCCACCTCCTGTTCTTGTATTATCACCCCCGGTATTACCCCCAGGTTTTCTTAGACCTTTACGTCCTTCTATACCATATTTACCACCTGTTGAACGAACTAGTTTAGTTGACACACTTTTAGCAAGACTTATCTCTATCTCATCCACTTCCTCTTCGTCTTCCTCTAGTTCTTCAGACTCTCCTGATTCTTCTCACTGTGCAAACACCTCTTCTGCTATCGGAAGGAAGAGGACTGCTTCTCAAGCAGGACTCCCTCCTAATTTTACCTTCTCTGAGTAGGAATCTAGTGGAAAAGGAGAGTAGGATAGAGTCGAGTAAGGAATAATCTATACATATACGTAGGTGTAAGTACTTTTGACTGAAAAGAAAAATGGGTATATAGGAAGCCTAACCTTACCGTTGTTGAATTTTGGGAGGAAATGGGCACTTTGGTGATCATGGATCCAGGGGAAAGCTCGTGAGGTCTTCGTTTTGGGTTGTCGTCTCTGATATCGTGACCCCACTTTAGTTTGTATGTAATTCAGTTATGTATATATTTAGATAACTGGATGATTGTATAAATTAACAGATGATGTGTATATATGAAATGAATACTTCTAGTAATGGTAGTGTATTTAATTTCACTATATCTGAATAGATATAGACCCATGCATGTGATGTTCTTACTGCTTGGTTATTTTATGATTATATTTATATTTATTGCTTAGTAAGTAGTAAGGGTGTCACATTACCACTTACCAGTGACTTGGTTTGGTTTCCATTCTTTTTCCTGTCTTGTTGGCAGTGTCACTGTTTTCTACATGCTCGATGTTTTAAGCATGGTTTTGTTGCCTTAGTTTAAAAGTCAGATCATGCTATAAGTTTAAATTAGATTTCACTTATAAATGAATTATCAAAAGGAAAAAATAAAGTGTCATGAACTAGTCTTGAATCTAAATTCCTCTTGTTAATGTTATTCAATTGAGACATCAAATTTAGGAAGAATAAATTAGTTTATTTAAAAAACAACACATATGTCAAACTGAATTTCAGGACCCCAGGAATTGAAAAAATAGACATTTTAAACGAGACATGGCTGTTATTTTGTTTTATAATCTATTAATTTCATATTGGCAAAATTGATTGTTGAAATCATGGTAGAGAAATAAGTAATGAAAGAAGAATCATAAAATTAAAGGAATGAAAAAAGTGATTACGACATAGCCATGTAAGTTGAATGTATATTGGTCGGGACGTCACTAATCGTCTCACATATCACAATGTGATCAAACTAACAATGTTTGTTATATTCCATGCAAAATAGATATCCGTTTTGGGGTAATAAAAAAGAAGAGAAAACAGCAATATGTGGGCATGAACACTTCCTTACTTGGGAAACAAGGACATTGGTTGTGAGAGATACATGTGACCAATAATGATGCACAAAATAATCACTTCAGTTCCTTTCAGACGCCATCTTGCAGACACAATAGTTTGTCAAACGAACTAATTAATGGGAATTAAATCTTCAATAATTTGAACAACAAAAATTTGTTAAGGACTTTGACTTGCACAATAAGTAGGTCAAATGAAATTGAATGTCTTTGACACTACTCTAAATTTGTTCTAACAACTGTTTTGGTTAAGACACAGCAACGTTGATTTCAACATCTCTTTGAACATTCAAAACCATAACATCGTTTCCCTCCTATATATATTCACTTACATTTTGTCTCATTCCATCAATTCCTATTTCCTAGTAGTAGGAAGAGTTTAAAGATCAAAACATGGGTGTTTCCCTTCTTACATCACTCAAAATCTCAGTGTTCTTTGTGTCATTGAATATATTTTGCATTTTTGAGCTTGCACTAGCGGGCACTGCCAGACACTACCATTTCCATGTAAATGGGCAGCACCTTTTTCAATTCTACATTATCTATCATGATGTTTTAATTTTATTCATATGTAGTAATAAATTTGAGATTCTATGCTGAAACAGATAAGGTACAAAAATGTGACAAGATTGTGCCACACAAAGAGCATAGTGACAGTGAATGGCGAGTTTCCAGGACCTCGCATTGTAGCAAGGGAGGGAGATCGTCTTATTATCAAAGTGACAAATCATGTGCAGAACAACATCACCATTCACTGGTAAATAATAGCATTCTATGTTGACATACATAGAAGAAGAATAACTGTAGTGATTTTTTTAAGTTAAATATTGAGCATAAATAAGTGTAAAAAACATGGTAATCTTTGGAATAGGCATGGCATTCGACAGCTTCAATCAGGGTGGGCTGATGGACCAGCGTATGTGACTCAGTGTCCCATCCAAAGTGGTCAAAGTTATGTTTACAATTACACCATTGTTGGGCAGAGAGGCACTCTCTTTTGGCATGCTCACATTTCATGGTTAAGATCAACTCTATACGGTCCTCTCATCATTCTTCCCAACCGCAATGCTCAATATCCTTTTGCAAAGCCACACAAGGAAGTTCCGATCATATTTGGTAATAAAATTGCTAAAGGGATGAACCTTGGTCTGCCCATTTCTTAATTTGCATAAACTTATCATGCTTTAACATATATTATTTTTAGGAGAATGGTGGAATGCAGATCCTGAGGCAGTCATAACCCAAGCCTTGCAAACCGGTGGAGGGCCAAATGTCTCTGATGCCTACACAATTAATGGACTTCCAGGGCCATTATATAACTGCTCTGCCAAAGGTATCAATTGCTAATGAATACACGTTTTAGGAATATTATCATGTTGAAGAAAATAATTACTTCAACTGGAACCATGAAAAGCTTTTATACATAATTCCACTATAGATAAAAAAAAAAGGGTACTCCCCAAGTGTTTCCTTGAAAATGGCATTCACTATTTTAGGCACCAATTTTGGCATTATGATACGGTACAACTAGAAATGATTGACTTATTAAAAGATATATGGTTTAATTCCAAGTAAGAGACTAATGGGTCATTGTTGACAGACACATTCAAGCTGAAGGTGGAGCCAGGGAAAATTTACCTTCTACGATTGATCAATGCAGCACTGAATGATGAGCTATTCTTCAGCATTGCAAACCACAGCCTCACAGTTGTTGAAGCAGATGCAATTTATGTGAAACCTTTTGTGAGCAACACCATCCTTATGACCCCTGGCCAAACCACAAATGTTCTTCTAAGGACCAAGTCTCACTACCCCAATGCCACATTCCTAATGACTGCTAGACCATATGCCACTGGCTTGGGCACTTTTGACAGCTCAACTGTTGCTGCCATATTGGAATATAAAATGCCTCCTAATGTTCATCATTCAAGTGCTTCACAAAAAAAGCTTCCACTCCTCAAACCTGTTCTTCCTGCACTCAATGACACTTCTTTTGCAACAAATTTCACCAACAAACTCCGCAGCCTAGCAAGTGCTCAGTTTCCAGCTAATGTACCCAAGAAAGTTGATAGGCACTTTTTCTTCACAGTAGGACTTGGTACAAGTCCCTGCAAGCAAAACCAAACATGCCGGGGACCTAATGGAACAATGTTTTCAGCATCAGTGAACAATGTTTCTTTTACACTCCCAACCACAGCACTTCTTCAAGCCCACTTCTTCGGACAATCCAAAGGGGTTTACTCTCCTGACTTTCCAAGCAAACCATTGATTCCGTTTAACTATACTGGCACCCCGCCAAACAACACCATGGTGAGCAATGGGACAAAGGCTGTGGTTCTTCCCTTCAACACAAGTGTAGAGCTTGTGATGCAAGACACTAGCATTCTTGGTGCAGAAAGTCACCCTCTTCATTTGCATGGCTTTAACTTCTTTGTTGTAGGACAAGGTTTTGGTAACTTTGATCAAAATAAGGACCCTTCAAACTTCAATCTTGTTGATCCCATTGAAAGGAACACAGTTGGTGTCCCATCCGGAGGATGGGTTGCTATCAGATTCTTAGCTGATAATCCAGGTTGGTAAGATTAGTACTTGATATCAGCTTTAGTGCGTAGTTTATTCATTCTTAAAAATTTTACATCATAGTTCTAAAAATATGTCTGGGTACATTTTAATAAAGTATAAAAGTAATTCATTAATATGTAATTATGTTACATTGTATGTGCAGGAGTATGGTTCATGCATTGTCACTTAGAAGTGCACACAAGCTGGGGTCTTAAGATGGCATGGGTTGTTTTGGATGGAAACCTCCCAAATCAAAAGCTGCTTCCACCGCCAAAGGATCTTCCCAAGTGTTAACTTCAAGATGAAACATATGTTTGTTCAACTTAGGGCAATTGTGTTTTTGCCAGATGCTTTCATTTTATTTTATGTTTTTGTGTGCGTGCGAAAAACTGTTGCGGCTTGAATTGAGGTTGAGGGTGGACACTTTTCCTTCCTTCAGACGAGAATTTTATTTATACACCGCGCCTTCTTTTACAAAATTGTAACATATTCATTTGAATGAAAAATCTTTATGAAAATTTTTTATCATAAATTCTTGTTACTTTAGTTGTGTAATTCTAGTTTAGATTCACTGTCAAGTTATTAATTGACATAAACATCTAAATTTTACACTAATGGATCTAACTCATATAATATGAGAATAAAAATTAAAGTACAGGTCATCAAATCGCACATAACTCATCAAAATTAAAGATTAGTTTAAATTACGTGATTTCAACCTATAAAAACTCTATGATTAAAATAATGTATTTTATTCAATACTCAATTTTGAGGTATTTGAAGTAGAAAAGGTTAAAAATATTAGTCGTGGATAAGATTAATTTATTTTGACATGGATAATAGAAAACAAATCTTTTTTTTTTCAGAAATGATTAAATTATATTTAATACTTAATATTATGACTTTTTTTTATTATGGTTTTGCTAGTTTTAAAATATAGTAATTTAGTTATTCTAATTTTTTTTCATTCTTCACAATCTGTTCATTTTCTTTCTATGAAGTATTATTTTATGAATTAAGATATGTTAACACTTACACCATTTAATAACTTTTCATAGAATCTAAGATTGATCAACTTATATAACCATTAAATCATCTTATTATTTTCATATAATTTGAATATTTATAAGTATATTTTTAAAATTTTATATTTACTTGCATTTTAAAAATATAATATCTATTAGGATAAAATAATGTGATGAAATACTTATTAATTTTATTTTTTATAAAATTTTATAAAGATATATTTAATGAAAACATCCCAACCAACCGTTAAATTGATTAATATGATATTCCATGAAAAGTTATTAAGTGGTGAAAGTTTCTAAATTTAATATTATTGGAATGAAACATTTTTAAAGCATTCATTGACAATTTTGAAAAAAAATGAAAAAATGATATTTTAAGGGATCAAAATTTTAGTTAGTTGTGAATATCATTTTTTGATCCCTTATTTTCGTATGTAGATATGCATATTAAACTGACCATATCATTTATCAATCAAAGTTTTTATAATACTTTCTCCAGACAAATGTTTATACTTAATTAAATATAATTACGAAGCTTGTTAAGAAAATAATAAATAAATACGATTGTAAAATAGAATAAATTTATAAAATTATTAAGCCCTGAACGAGTTCTTAAATATTGTCATCATATCTTGTTAGATTTTTGGATCCCTTTTGTAAAAGTCTTGTATTCTTATTCATACTATTCTATATATGAAAATTATATTGATATTTTAACTAATTATTATCAAGTTAGTTTCCGCATTTTCTTTTACCACAATAGCTTTTTAGAAATATTTGTATTATGATAAATTAAATTTTTGAGAGACTTATATAAGATATAGTAATACATGCAATTTTAGAAAATTAAATTAAATTTTTGTTTAAATTGTTAATAAAATAGAATAAATGTAAAATATGTCTACCAACTTTTATTTCATCACTAAGTGAATCTCTATGGAAAAACAATGGATTTCCTTAAGAGCAAGTTTTCTGCATTTAGTGCACTTAGTGTGTTTGCTCGTCTGACATGGTATATAAAAAAATAAGTGTGTCATTTTTTACGAAACAATAAAAGAAACAAGTCATTAGATGATTAAAATATAAAAATCATATAACATTTCAAATGGTCATGTAATAATAAGGAACTTGTATTTTTTACCATTTACTCCTTTTATTTTCACATAAAAGATCCTCTCATGAGATAAATCCTAAAATCTATTGACATCAATCATAGAGAGGTTTGGAGAAAAGAATGTTCAAATATGTAGGCTAATTAAAACCATGGAATTCTCATTAAAATGAAAGAATATTACAACACTGAAAACGAATTTGTAAATATAGATGCATCTTAACATATTCCACCCTTTCACCTCATCTCCCGAATGAAAAAACAAAAAAATAGAACTAGTCACAATCGGTTAGCCAAAAATGGCCCTATAAAAGGGGGGAAAAAATACGGAATAATAACGGATTAAAAAAGTTATGACCACAAATCCTAGTAAATATTTAACACTGTGGAAGATCAGCTGGTGGTGGAAGCAGTTTCTGATGTGGAAGCATTCCATCCAACACAATCCATGCCATCTTTAGACCCCAGCTAGTGTGGACTTCAAGATGACAATGCATGAACCATGCTCCTGCACACATAATTTTTAACAATATCCGAAGGTTCATATCACCAAAGCAAAGATGATTCTTTAGTCATATTTTATCCAATGTCTTAAACATTGCATAGTGATAATAAAGGGAATGAAATGAATTACCTGGGTTATCAGCCAAGAAACGAATAGCAACCCATCCACCAGATGGGACACCAACTGTGTTTCTCTCAATGGGATCAACAAGATTGAAGTTTGAAGGGTCCTTATTTGGATCGAAGTTACCAAAACCTTGTCCAACAACAAAGAAGTTAAAGCCGTGCAAATGGAGAGGGTGACTTTCTGCTCCAAGAATGCTAGTGTCTTGCATCACAAGTTCTACGCTTGTGTTGAAGGGAAGAACCACAACCTTTGTCCCATTGCCCACCATGGTGTTGTTTGGAGGAGTGCCTGTATAGTTGAATGGGATCAATGGACTAGCGGGAAAGCTAGGAGTGTAAACTCCTTTGGATTGACCAAAGAAGTGGGCTTGAAGAAGAGCGGTTGTTGGGACTGTGAAAGAAACATTGTTCACCGATGCTGCAAACTTTGTTCCATTAGGTCCCTGGCATGTTTGATTTTGCTGGCAGGGACTTGTTCCAAGTCCTATTGTGAAGAAAAAGTGCTTATCAACTTTCTGGGGCACGTTAGCTGGAAATTGAACACTTGCTAGGCTCCGGAGTTTGTTGCTGAAATTTGTTGCAAAAGAAGTGTCATTAAGGGCAGGGAGGATGGGCTTGAAGAGTGAAAGCTTCTTCATTGAATTTATTGAGTGAAGAGACTGTGGTGCCACTTCATATTCCAATATTCCAGCAACAGTTGAGTTGTCAAAAGTGCCCTGCCCTGTCACATAAGGCCTAGCATTCATGAAGAATGTGGCATTTGGGTATTGGGATTTGGTTTCGAGAAGAACATTAGTGGTTTGTCCAGGGGCAATAAGAATAATGTCAGTGTCAAATGGCTTCACATAAATTGCATCTACTTCTACTACTGTAAGGGTGTGATTTGCAATGCTGAAGAATAGTTCGTCATTAAGTGCAGCATTGATTAAACGGAGAAGGTATGCCTTCCCTGGCTTGACCTTTAGCTTGAAAGTATCTGAAAAATACCATGATTTGCATATAGAATATGCAAATGAGGTAAAGTATTATTCTTCATAATTTTAGGAAGTTAACCACTAGTAATCTCACAACATGGGGGTACTTTTTAGTTGCTTTTTTTTAGCACTTGATACCTTTAGCAGAGCAGTTATACAATGGCCCTGGAAGTCCATTAATAGTGTAGGCATCAGAGACATTTGGGCCTCCACCAGTTTGCAGGGCTTGTGTTATGACTGCCTCAGGATCCGCATTCCACCATTCTCCTAAAAAATTTTATTATATGTCAAAGTAAGGTTAGTCCTTAGTACATGCAGTAAATATAGGGCCACGATGTTATGATGTCAATAACTTTGTCATTCATTACCAAAGATGATGGGAACTTCCTTGTAAGGTTTGGTAAAAGGATATGGAACTCCATGCTTGGGAAGAATGATGAGAGGACCGTAGAGAGTTGATCTTAACCATGAAATGTGAGCATGCCAAAAGAGAGTGCCTCTTTGCCCTACAATGGTGTAATTGTATACATAACTTTGGCCTGTTTGAATGGGGCACTGAGTCACATATGCTGGTCCATCAGCCCACCCTGATTGAAGTTGTCGAATGCCGTGCCTATTTGGAAGGTTACCAAGTTTTTTCTTAACACATCAAAGTTCGATTTATATATTATGCACAATTTTCTTTCTTAACTTGTTTCTTTTAAAAAAATAGAATTAAATTTACCAATGTATGGAGATGTTGTTCTGAACATTGTTAACCACTTTGATAAGAAGACGATCACCCTCCCTAGCTACAATGCGTGGACCAGGAAACTGACCATTCACTGTCACCATGCTCTTTGTGTGGCATAGTCTTGATACATTTTGGTACTTCATCTATACATCAGAAAGCCAAGCCATTAGGTACAAAGCAAACAGACATATATTGGAAACTATGCTAAAAGAATATAAAATGCAAATAGTTTATTTTTTGAAAATAAGCTAGCTTTAAGATAAAGTTATGAAGTCCTTTTGAGAAGTACATCAAAATGGTAGTGCCTTGTAACGCCCCCTAGAGCAAGATGAGGAATGATGATCAGAGAAAAGAGAAGAATTGTTGGCAATGCAAATGATTGAAGAGGTGGAACACCCATATTTCTTTGTTATAGAGATTGCAAGACAGAAAATGGGATCCTTTAACACTGTCTTTTCAGTCTGAATTGTGGATGCAACAGAGTTCATTGGGAGGCAATTTATAGAGGAATGATCTCATGTGGTTGTTGCAATATAAAAAGTCTCTATAAGACCATCAGATGTTTTTTCTCTTTTTTTTTAATGAGATCAGTTGTTAGAACAACTCTGGAGTGGTGTCCAAGACAACCAATTTCACTTGACAGTTTGACCTCCTTGTTGTAGAAGTCAAACCATTTTGAAATTTGCTCTTTTTAACACTGTTCTTGCAAAACTCATATTACAATATATTTGACACTTTCTAGTGCATTAAAAACGACATATCCAAAACAGTCAAGTCCATGCTGTTCAAGTATAAAGGAACTTGTTAGTAAATTTAATACAATGGAAAAAATGAAGTGACATAAGTAAAACTCACAGTTCAACAAACAAAAAGCGATAGACTTTTCACTTCATCATGAAATTTTTAACTGCCGTTTCCTATCAGTTGTTTTCTCGAATTGGATTAAAGGGTGTCTCTTAAATCAATTTGATTGGACTCTTTCTACCACAAGTTTAAATTGGCTTGAAACCTCAAAGCTACCGCCAATGAAGGTTCATTACAAGCCTTGAGAAATTTTGGTCAAATGTAACACTCACAACCGATGATCTTGGAGGCAAAGCAATTGACAAGGGGGTTCTCAGTTCTGTCAAGTAGTCACTGTAGACGAGTTGTTTCCCTTATTCCTTTGCATTACCACAAACTACATGACAGATAACATGCATGCATAATAAGGAAACCTCAATGAACGCAATTCTTTTTCAAGGAAACATGCTAAGCTGTAAGCACCATACTTTGCTAATATATTCCATTGCATCACAATCTTAATAAAACCTATATAACTAGTTTTGTTTTTGTTCATTTCTACATTTAATCCCACACAATGCCTCACACATCAATCATTTTCAGAAAAAATAAAAAAATAAAAAAAATTCAACAACCCTCTTACTTTCCTCTATTTTTCTCAAAAATGGTAGGTGTGAGGTAATAATGTTTAAACAACATAGTAGCCAAATTCAACATTTAAGCTGAATTAAGTGTTGTCTTTATCATGCAACCTCTTTCCTTCTCTCTGAAGCATATATAGTTTCACACATACTTGTGGTTCTGTTTATATGATTTATTAAACTAAGCAGTATTCCTTGTTCATCAAATGTAATTTCGTTATTTTCAATATCTCAGCATGAAAAGTAGAAAAGATATGATTGTTCTGTTCGTGGATTATCACGTAAATGGCTTTTTACCAAGTATTGTAAAGAAAGCATAATTGATAACACAAGGCACCGTTATTCTCCTCAATTATAATACAGAATTACTTAGTGATGGGTTGTGATATGTTCATAAAGTAGAGATTTTAGCATTATCGTTATAAATAATCATATGGGAATGTGTACAAACCAATGCATTATTGGAATCCTACGGTGAATCGAAAACAAGGACATTCTAATATTAGGTAAAAGGGATAAAAAGAAACTATCAAATTAATAAGAACATATCAAATCTACCAAGATGCGTCTTGATGAATTTATAAACTTTATAAGCATTAGAGTCAAGTTAATAAATAGTATATATATATATTTTTTATAGTTCATTCCCACACACTAAAATAAAGTCTTCAGATTAAAGACATTTTTATCACATTTTCTTTTTCTTTAAAACAAGTGACTTCAACAATTTATTTATATATCAAAACATTAAAATTATTAATTTATTTTTAATATTTTAAGAATGATTTTTTTTCTAGATCTCACGTTCCTCAAAATAAATACTTTTGAAGTTTTTGCATTATTTTTCATCCCAAATTTCGACCATTTATTTTCTTAAACTAATTCCTTTCACTTTGTTAAATTTCTCAACCAGTTATTATATATTTTTTGTTTATTTTTTAATTAATTATGCATATCTTTTGAGTACATCAAAGGTATTCCGTAAGTGATAGTTAGAGACAAAGTCATCTTGAGACATTATTGAAATGGGTTTTATTATAAAAAATTTCATAGACATAATTAGGAATCGTACCTGAATTAGTATACTTAAAGGACTCATCAACTGTGTTAATTGCTAGTATTGTTTATGTTAATTTAATTATTTAAGTTTTACTAAAAAAGACAAATGCAGGAAATGCTTCATGGTAAAGGTAAAAGTTATACAGGAAATAGATATCGGATAGAATATGAAAAATATGACTCGGTTGCTCCCTAATCAAGTGACTAAAAAGTGAGGGAATCTTGCTTTAATCTTCAATAAGACAACGTACGGATTAGAATTAGTCAGAGATACTTTCCGTTAATCAAGAAAAAAAATTAGCTCTGGCTAAGGTGAGGAAGCATAAGTAGAATGAAAGGAACCATTTCCATTTAAATATATAAAACACATTGATAGAGCCATGACATTTAAAGATTTTAGGAATATGCACTTTATGAGTGGATCAAGCTAAGAATAAATAATGAGAATGTCTTATATATTCCACGTTGAGATAAATAAGTGGTACAAGTAGTCAAGATCTTTGTGCTTCAAAGATAGAGTGAAATGGGGATGCTGAAGAACATTGGAGAGCAATTTCTCTATTGTTGTGTGCTTTTGCATGTTCTTGTCGCTGAAGGTGAAAGTCTAGAAGCACCAGAACTGAAGGTAACTAACAATATTTATAACTTTGGTTATTGTGACAGGGTTATGCACTTGTATAATAAACACTTGAATTAAATTGAAGCAATAGCTAGATTATATTAATTGATCATTTCTATTCCTTTTCATTAAGAAGCATGAAAATTTATCAGTCATGCGACAGGACACATGAGATGTTGTAGCGAGATTGACATACCACCAACATAGGTACCTTTAATAGCGTCTTTTTCCAAGACTGTCAAATATTCTTTCCTCCTTTAATTAGGAAAATATTTCATAAACCCTTCTCAAATGCATACACCTAAATATAGCTAAAAAGAGAATAAAAAAAATAAAAAAAATATACAAGTAATGTGATATGATAAGGAAGAGACATCTAGATATTATTCATTATGTAATAAAAATATTTAGATTTTTATAAATTAGAATTAGCTTAATAAAATAAAAATGAAAAGCGTATATTGATTAAAGAAATATATCAATTTTTTTTGTTATTTGGACAAAAGAATACATTATTGGAATGTACTCTTTTCTTTCTTTTTTCTTGCAATAATAATCGCATAAAATTTTGATTGCATGCCAATGTAGGATCCAATTGTAAAAGTCACAGGTATTTGAGTTACATCACTAAAGAGTTTTTCTAATAAACTTGTCTTTGCACATAGCAGAAAAATTGCACCTATGTGATCACCATAGAGACCACGTGCACATGGGGAGCTGAAACCTCAAACCATGTAAGCCTAAGATTTGGAGACACAAACTCAAATGACATATTGGTTAGGCACCTAAACTCGAAGCACCTAAGGAAACTTGACCCATTGGATCCTGTGGTTCTTGATGACATGCCAAGGGAACCATTTCAAGCATGCATGGTGGACCAATTTGAGGTCACAGCACCATGTGTTGAGTCCCCAATATGTTACTTGTACCTCAAGCTCATCGGAAACGACGATTGGCGGCCGGATTTCGCACAGGTTCGGGTGCTCGAGGGCTCCCGTCTCAGCTCCGATTACTTCTATTTCCGGCGATATCTCCCTAGACATGTATGGCATGGTTCAGATGTGTGTGACAGTGAAGTTACTCCTTTTGGCCTCAAGAAGAAGAGAAAGGTTTATGTGAACATTCCTTGAGTCTCAAGTAATAGGTTCACACTTTATTTTATTTTCAATCTTTCTTTTAACCAACTATACAATCAACAATCGGTTCTCTTGATATGTATATCATTTAATAGTGTCTTTGAAATAACGGGACAATTATATAGTAGTTGTAGACAATGTAAATTACAAAATAATTATGTAATAAATTAGACCCTGTAGAGAAAATATTATTTATAATTCTTAAAATTGAGTTTAAGGAAAGGTTTTATTAAAAAAATATATATTTATTATTTTAATACGATGCATGTATTTATCTCTAATAAAAATTTATGATGCGCAAGATTAGTTCTAAAATTTCAGGTTAGTAAAACTCTTTTTAATATTACTATTAATATATTTAGGGTTTAGGTTAGTAAAATTCCGGTTAGTAAAACTTTTAATTTACACATGTTTAAACTCTTTTAATATAAAATTATATTAGTTGTAATATATATTTTAAAAAATCTTCAATTTCTTTAAAATTCTAATTTATTGAATTGTATAGTTTTGCTATTATCCTCATTTAATTTATTAACAAAATAAGTTAAATACTAAATAAATCATGATCAAATTAAATAATATAATACAAAATATCAACAAATCAAAAATATATACAAAATTGATTAGATTAAAAAAGTGATATAAAATAACTTTTGTTTTGAAATGTTAAATCACTTGATAATAAAAGTTAACGTTGTTATAATATAAATAATTAATTAAATTAAAATGTGTGATGTTTGATAAAGTTAAAAATTAATAAACTTATTTATAAATTTTAAAGATTAATTTAGTTGACTTTTACACTTTTAAGAACTAATACACAACTTTACTCAATATTTTCAAATTTTATTATATATACATATCTCCATCATATTATATTATATTTGTAGCTCATCTTACATTCATACTTTCTAAATTTAAACAAAATAAACTTTTAATTTACACATGTTTAAACCTAATTTAGCTAGCAAAGTACAACCCATTAATATGAAACTATTATATTAAATATATTTAGTTAATAAGACTTTTTTAAAAATGTGTACGTAATTATTACTTTAAA